GATAGGGAAATATTTCTTTAAAATGACACACACAAACCACAGTGGAAAAGTGATAACTGATTAAATTCTGGTGATCAGAAGAAACTACACTGAAAACGACAAACTATAAGCCATAAAATGGGAGGAAGAAAACATCAGCAATAAAGGTGTAACTGAAAAACTTGTATCTAGAATATATAAAAAATAATTATAAATAAGTAAGAAAAAGATAACCTAATAGAAAAATATGGGCCAAAGATTTGGTAAAGTACATTTTATGTGTACACACACACACACACACACACAGTCCAAAATGCAAGTAAGCATTTTAGATGATGTTCTGTCTCATAAACATGCCAGGAAAGCAATCACTTCCAATGGTAAATTCTGACTCACAACGACCCTCTAGGGCAGGTTAGAGCTGCTGCTGTGGGTTCCAAGGTTGTAAGAATCTTCACATTATTGTACAAAGCCACATCTTTCTCCCGCAGAGCAGCTGGCAGGTTTGAACTGCTGACCTTGCGATTAGCAGCCCAATGAGTAACTCACGATACCATCAGAGCTGCCATTAATATGCAGGCAACAGTAATCTGTGTTATTTACATGAACAGAAACCAATACTAGAAAGTTGAAGAGCATGGAGGGTGGGGCCGGGATGCCATTCCTCCATTAAATGTCTACAGCATTTAAAAAACCAAAACAGATAAACCCCATAAAGATGCATTCTTTCTGATGAATGAAAACAGCCCAACATACAGGAGAGAGGCCCTAAAAGAGTGACTAGGAGGGGATGAGGTGGAGGGCGTTGAGCAATGAGAACACCTGGCTGTGAGTGGGCCGGGAGTCAGGGCCGGCATAGCCAGCTGCCGGTGTGGTTTCAATCTGTGGGACAGGGGACTTCTGTCGTGCTCATTTTGCCCCTGGTTCTCACGGTTACCAGGAAGAAGGTGCAGGACTGGGCAAATGGTTGTCACTCTAGAGTCAGAGCTGACGCAATGGCAACCAGCAGCAGGTGGGAACCCCAGGTGGTCATTTATGTCACACACCTGAACAGTCTATCTCTAAACTACAGTTCCCTTCATTGTTTACCACCGACCACCGTCCTTCCCGTGCTGACCTCTTAGGACACCTTTCACGTCTTACTGTACCTATTTCATACGCCTCTCACCCCGGGTAGGCTTCAGTACACACGATTCCAAGAAGGACAATAATCATACCTGCTGAAGTATTTTATCTTTTTGTCATGAGTCAGAGGGGATCCTGGGATCTCAAGGGTGCTTTGCTACATTATCGTACAAACCAGCTCACTGTAGGAATTCTGTAAAGCTGTCACTTTGAGTAATTTCACTGCTGCACAAAGATGTTAGAGCTCGGCCTCTGCGCAGTGTCTCCCGGGGGACAGACAGACACGAGTTCAAACTTTGGTCTGGCACTGAGGACAAGCCATAGCACTTCCTCACCTGTACCTCAGGGTGAGGACAACCGTGCCAAGGCGTCCTGGGGGTGCAATGGTCCAGTGCCTAACTAGTCAAAATACTGGCAGCTTGCGCGCATTCCTCAGCGTCACAGGGGAAGGCCTGGTGAGCTGCTCCCAGGAAGATGGCAGGCTCGGGACCCTACGGGCAGCTCTGTCTGTCATATGAGGTGCCTCGGCTCCACAACACTGAACAAGTGGACAAGAGCAGACACAGGTGGGGCCTGCGCCAACGCTTCCTGAAGGGGAAGAGCGGGTGTCTGTCAGGGGTGGAGCCCACCCAAGCTCGTTCACTTGGACCCCTGGGCGAATTCACAGGCCTGCCGGGCTTGAGTCGCCATTTGACACCTCCCCCTTGTGAGAGTCCATTCCGGGAGAACAGTGAAGGGGATTGAGTTAGTTAATTGTGCCAGCCTGGCCGATAATCACATGTGGGGCTAATTGAAAGGCGGAGGGATAAATGGGTGGTGAAGCCTCGCCT